TTTTTCCAATTCACAGCGAACCCCAGACGCGTGAGATGAATCACTGTCTGTGTCGTATGAGTGAACGCCAGCTCTGCTGACGGGGCGAGAACCAGCAGGTCGTCTAGGTAGGCTAATATCCTTATCCCTTGACGACGCAGCGGCTCCAATGCCGCCTCCACACATTTGGAAAATGTTCGAGGTGCCAGGGCGTACCCAAACGGCATCCTCGTGAACTCGTACGCCACCCCTTGAAAGGCGAACCGCAGAAACTTTCTGTGACGTGATTGTATCGACACATGAAAGTACGCGTCCTTTAGGTCTATGCTTGTACAAAAGTCTCCCTTCTGGACACATTCCAGTAGACGTTTTGTCGTCAGCATTCGGAAGGGCCGTTTGGTTATGCTCTCGTTGAGAATGCGTAAGTCCAAAATCGGCCTCACTCCCCCCGTCTTTTTGGGCACTAGGAAATAGGGCGAATACAGCCCCTTGTTCCTTTGCTCTCGGGGAACTACTGTGACCGCATCCTTCGCCAAAAGTTCCGTAATCTCTGACATCAGAGCGGCTACTTTGTCTGGCGTTTTCATCACCGTCTCCACCACTCCCCTGAACAGGGGTGGGGTCTGTTAATAACGGGATATGAGAAGGGAGAGTCGGCCAATGATCGATTCAGACTAGGTGGTAAATTGTATGACAAGCGGCAGTTTATTCAGAGTAAAAATGTCTGGTACAAAACGTGCACGGTCTCGTTCTTTCAGCTCATAGGGAACCTCCAGAAAAAGCCCCAAAAAACAGTTCACATATGTTTTATACTATTTGTAAAGTAGGTTGAATCTGGCAGATCTGATCTTCTGGTTGGTCCATGCTGCTCGGGCGTCGTCCTCTGTGATTGGGTCTAGGAGATCTATACATTATAACTCAGGTCCTTTGTTCCAAATGTTTCAGCAGAGTAAAGATTTGGTGTGTGCGTTTAGTTATCTCTTATCTTGAGTGAGTCTGTGTGTGTGAGTGCATTTGTGGCAAGAGTGTGTGTGTTGGTCAAAGCTTGTCTTGGAAAAAGGAATTAGTTATAGCAATTTAATGGCAATAAGCTGTTTATAAAAATAGCATTTATTACAAATCCCCCTCTACACGTCTCTTAAGACGTGTCATATACTAAGTAAAAAAGAAAGAAAAGGGAAACTTTCTCAGAGAGAAAGTTTTGAGTCCCCCTCTTCACGTCTCAAAAGAGACGTGACATAAACTAAGTAAAAGTTCTACTCTCATCCTCCTCGAAAGATAAAAAGTCTCCCTCTCCAAGAAGAGGAAACATCTGGGAAGGGCTTGTTGGGTCAATGGCCTTAGTTATGAGCCTAGTGGTGAGTGAGCGAATGCATGGTATGCAACAGCATCCACACAAAACCAAAATGGCCGCAAACACCGAGATTGAAACCAAAATGGAGGACACCAGGGCTTTATATTTACCAAAAGCGTCCATCCAGGAATCCCACATGGAGGTGTCTACACCGGAATGGGATTTCATCTTACCATTAAGAGTCTTCAAGCCTTCTAAGGCGATAGTCAGGCTGCCATCAGGGGCTGTGTTATTGGGTATGAAAGTGCAGCACTGTTCGCCAAACATGGTGCATACACCTCCTTTCTCTGAGAGCAGCATATCTACTGCAATACGATTTTGGAAGGCCATCAAGCTGGTGGCAGCCAATTGGCCATGCACCGCCTCAAAACCTTGCTGGGTCCAATTGCCTAGCTTTTGGACATTAAAATGAATATAATTGATCCTGTCAACATTTTTATTAATAGTACACCACCAGCACACTGATGATTCAAAACCGGCTGCAACCTGATCCACGAGTTTATACTTATCTGGCACCCCCCTAGGGATCCCTATGGCATCGATATAGGTGGGGTCCCATCGATCTGTTCTTGTCGATCTTTTGGATCGGGATGAATCCCAGTCCCTCTTCATTTGGGCCATCAGGTCCTTCACTTCCATAGGATAAACTGAAACAGGAAGGATCAAAGAGACAAGAGCACAAAGACCAGTAGCATTTCCGGGGAGGCGATCATACAGATGGTTTCCTCCACACCACCACCATACATCAGCTCTAGACACAGACTGAAAGGGAGCATTAGGATTATGGGTGTTATTACACCATTCATAAGGTAATGCTCCCAGCATTGGAGGGCCAAGGGACATATTAATACAAGTGAAATTAGCCCTGGCAACCCGAGAAGAAAACATTGGGCCCTTTCTAGTACTTATAACAATAGGGTAAAACTTGTCCCATACAGAGCAGCTGGCAGTTGGGTTGTCATACTTCATAACAGGAAGAAGACATACTTCAGGTAAGGTAGCCGGTACAATGCGAAGGAGTGGACGGGCCCCCATACATACCACACAGCTCTGGTGGGTGGCCTTGCCCGCCTCCTCAGACAATAATAGCCAATTATTCGTAAGTCCCGAGACCCCCGTAGCTGTAAGGATAGCACCGTCAAGAGTGGGCGGTGCTGTAAATAAAATAATAGAATTGTTTTTATTATTATTTTCAGTAATAGCCTGTGCTTTCGCGCCATTAATATGGCATATTCGAAGGTTCCAATAGACTATTGCAGTGGTACTGCTTACATGAGGAGCAAGTATAAAATCTTGGCAGCCTGTTGCAATATCGGGATGGATAGTAATTTTAAGTCCTTCAGAGTTTCTCGTCAAAGTCAAAAGTTTCCTCCATTGTCGTCCTAATATAGTGGAGGTGTAACTGGACCAGTCATATCTAGTCTCACATACCAAGTTTGTCCAAGTCCAATCGCTCGGGGAGTCCCCAACTGTCATATACCAGTCCCAGTCACGGTAGTAGGTAGCATCCGTACCTTTTCTATAATGAGTTTTTCCCAAGTTTACCCACGGCACTGTCGCAGTGGTGGTAACATTAAAGGGTATGCATAATGTGGTGGTTCTATGCACTTGTCTGGGCCCACAGGAAAGGGTGGTAGAGGCAACTTGTCTTTTGTGTACATGGTGGTTTAGGAGTAGATTTGTACGGTTACGTAGGCTGTTGGTATAGTTATTCAATGTGTCGGAGTGTAAGTTAGTTGGATGTGTCAGGTATTGTACTGACCAGAGTATGATTCCTAGAGTAACCCCAATAGTTACACTCAGCAAAACAAGGAGTGGAGCAGAGCACCCCAGTCTCTCCCATGGTGGTCTGTCCCTCCTCTGTTTTTCCCCTCCAGTATCTGAAGATGGGAGTCTCCTCCACATATTCAGATAGTGTTGGTGTCAAGAATTTGATCCGAATTTAATGTGATTAAATCACTTCTGACTTCAGTCAGGGTTCTGGAAGGAGTTGGTGCTGGTGTACAATGTGTCAAGTGGTGCCAAGGTGCGCCTGATTTACCTTTGACCTGGACTGAGTGCGAAGTAACCTCCTTCACTTCGTACGGTCCAGTCCACCTGGGATCATGCCACTTTCTCTTGTGAACCTTGATCCTTACCCAGTCGCCAACCTTTACCTTCAGTGGTTCTGGATCCCCCGTCAGCTCCCCCTCTTGGACTCTGTGTATCTGTTTGGAGAGAGCTGCAGACAGTTCCGTCAATTTCCTTACATAGTCAGTCATATCTATCTGGTGTACATCAAGAGGGGGCATATGACCTCCCTCTCTTGGTGGACCTGGCATAACTCTTCCGGTCATTATTTCATGGGGTGAAAGATGTGTCCCTGCTCCTGGTGAGGACCTCATGGCCATCAACGCAAGGGGCAGGGCTTCCACCCACGTCAATTTAGAACCTGCACAAACCTTGGCTATCTTAGCCTTCAGGGTTTGGTTAGCGCGTTCCACAAGGCCTTGAGATTGCGGCTTATACACAGAACCAAACTTGTGCACAATCCCGAACCTCTCCTCCACCTGTCTTAGGTGTTGGTTTGAAAAATGGGACCCATTGTCGGATCTTATTTGTCTTGGGACCCCATATCTTGGTATGAGCTCTGTCTGTAACCACTTAATGACAGACTTCCCATCCTCCTTAGCTGTTGGAATGGCTTCTACCCATTTGGAAAACCTATCTACCATCACTAGCAAATATCTCTTTCCGCTTTTCACATTATCTGCCCCCATATCTGTATAATCTATACTGATGTCTTGGAAACATGCGTTTGGCACTGGGTAGGACCCCATTGGGGTTTGGTATGGTTTCTTTGGATTGTGACTTCCACAAATTTCACAACTGTCGCAGAACAAATCCGTCATGTCCTTCATAAAAGGATGCCACCAAATGTAGGAAATTTTCTGCAAAGTCTTAAGTTTCCCCTCATGGGTGGGCCCATGGGCTTCTCTTATCAGTTCAGGGCAGAGATTTGCTGGGGCCACCAGTCTGCCATCATGGCACCTCCACAGTTCATCAGGTCCTTTGGTGGCCCCCTTCTGTCCCCAGACCGAATGTTCATATGGTCCCGCTGTAAGTTGTAATTCCTTTATGTGTTGGTTCGTCAATTCAGTCTGGGCAGGTGGTATCTGCAATGCCATCTGCTTCGGGGTGTAGCCACCTGCCTTCTTGGCTGCTTGGTCTGCAGCGTCATTCCCTCTGCCGACTCTTTTCTTGAGGTCCTGATGACCTCTGCACTTCATGATGGCCACCTTCTTTGGCAGGGATACAGCTTTTATCAGTCTCTCCATTTGTGCCTTGTGCTTGATTGGTAAATTTCCTGTGGTGGTGAAGTTGCGTCTGACCCATTGAGGTCCATCGGTGTGTACTGCTCCATGAGCGTAGGCCGAATCGGTGTATATGTTTACCGTCTTTCCTTCTGCCTTTTCCAGAGCTTGGGTTAGTCCGATGATCTCAGCCAATTGTGCAGAAGCAGGTTGGGGAATTACTCCCGATTCCAGAGTGATATGGGTTTTGTCCTGTAACTGCTGTACTACTGCGTATGCAGCTATGTTTCCTTCTTTTCCTCTGTAACAGCAGCCATCAGTGTACAACCATAAGTCAGGTCGGATCATGGGTTCGTTTCCCAAGTCAGGTCTCAGCTTGAGTTCCTGAGCTGCTCTTTCCTGGCAGGAGTGTGCCAGGCCTTCTTCTGCATTGAGTGCGTCAGCCATGTTTTTGTCTGTGTTGACAAACGTGATGTGTGACTGAGTACATTTGTTCTGAATTTTGCTTTTCCGTTCAGCACTGAAAGTGAATTCCTTGCTCATCAGGTATGCCGCAACCCCATGATGGGTGTGAATCTCCATCTTGTGGCACATCACAATGTGAGCGGTTTTTTCAATGGCCTTAGCCACTGCAGCTACATACCTGGAGCACGTGGTTTGGCCTGTCTCAATGTGATCAAGTTTAGCAGAGTGGTACATCAGTACTCTTCTCTCCCCCTCTTGTTTCTGAAAAAGGACGGAAGAGGTGAACCCCTCCTTTTCAGAAACATCCAAATGAAATGTTTTTTCATAATCAGGCGAGGTGAGGGCAGCAGCAACAGATAAATCGGTTTTTAACAGGCCAAATGCGGTAGAGGCTTCAGGAGTCCATACCAATGGGGCATGTAGGTTTCTTGGACCAGCTTCCCTCACGATCTCCCTCAGTGGTTCAGTTCTTGAAGTATAGTCCGGGATATGAGTACGGCTATATCCAGTCAAGCCTAGGAAGGACAGCATCCCTGAGACAGTGATGGGTCTTGGATGGTGTAAGATCGTGTCTCGGTGTGACTTGGAGAGTCCAGCACCATCTCCTGAGATCTCCCTTCCCAGGAACAGAACGGTACGTCTGCAGGATTGGACCTTGGCCATTTTTACTTTGTAGCCTTTGACTGCCAGAAAGTCCAAAAGAGTTTTAGTTATTTCCAGGCAGAGATCTGAGGTGGGAGCCCCCAACAACAGGTCATCAACATATTGTATAAGTATCACTCCTTCCGGGATTTTCAGCTCCGCCAGGTGCGTCTTCAGGATATGATTGAAGATTCCGGGAGAACACCTGTAACCTTGGGGAAGAACCGAATACGTAAACTGCTGATTTTCGTAGGTAAACGCAAAGAGTGGCTGGGATGCTTCATCCAATGGAATACTGAAGAAGGCATTGGCCAAGTCCACTACAGTAAAGTACTGATGTTTGGGTGACAGATTGCTCAAAGTGATGTGAGGATCAGGAACAGGGAGATCAATCGGTGTGGTGACGTCATTCACAGCTCGGAAGTCTTGCACCATCCTATATGTCTCACCCCCAGCTTTAAGAACAGGAAGTATTGGAGTGTTCCATGGTGACTGAGTCCTATAGATACACCCTGCTCCCAGCAGGCCTTCGATAGTAGGTCTGATTCCCTCTATCTGTTCAGGTTTCAGTCGGTACTGCGTTCGATATATAGGAATCTGGTCAGGGTTGGTAAGGGTGATGGTAACTGGGTGAACCTGGAGTTTTCCCACATCAAAGGGTGTGTGAGTCCATATTGATTTGTCAATGGATTCCAAAACAGCTGGTGAAGATGGATGGTCAGAATAAGGTTTTCCATGGTGTCTTGGGAGTGTGATTCGCTCAGGTTGGCACTGTTCTTCTGTGTCTACCGTTGTTAAACGCCACATTTTTTCAGTGGTCGCTTTTAACAGTCCAGGTGTGGTGGTAGTCTCCCAGGTGAGTTTGGAGGCTCTTTTTATCATTTGTCCCAAACTCCTGGCTTCATGGCCGTTGCCCACAGCCAAGGAATGAGGTGCAGAATCAGGCCCCAGCTGGTACCAAGGCTTAAGGTTGTTGGAGAGTATGACAGGGGCAGCGACACCTTCTGTTCCACAGATAATAGTAACGCATCGAATGGTGGGAGTAAGGTGCATCATATTTTCATCCCAATCCTGAGTGTAGGGAGTTTCTTCATCATCAGTCACATTAAGTGTGCAGTGTAAGTCAGTCTGGGGAGGTTTGTAAGGGTAAAAAGAGTAAATGAGCTTTCTCATTTGATTAAACTGGAACTGGACAGCTGGAGTTGCTGGTCCGGTTGGGAGACACCTAAGCCAGTAGATTTCCTGTGTTGTAGATGGTATAGGGGTTGGTAGAATGGGAAGCATCAGGACTCTTGCACTTGGAATTTGGGAAACAGAGACTTCAACTCCCTTTTCTGTTAGGTATATTGCGCATCCGAGTCTGCAGAGTAGGTCCCTACCCAACAGGTTAATGGGGCAGTTTGGACAGAAAAGAAACTGATGTTTCAACTTTGATGGTCCCCATTGAAAAAGCAAGGGGTTGGTTTTGTACTGAGCTTCGGGTGTTCCTGATACCCCCACCACCTGTATTGATTCCGAAGACAGGGGTTGGTGAGATCTGATGGCAGAGTATGTACATCCAGTGTCCACCAGAAATTGATGGGTAACACCTTCCACCTCACACGTCACTGTTGGTTCTGTGTAAATGGGAAAATGCTGGCCATTAGTCTCACCAGGTGATGGTGGGCAACTTCATTCCCAGGGTGGGAAGCCATCGGACATGCCCTGGAAAGATACACCGGGATTGGCCGGGGTGGTTGGTGCTGCAGCTGGAGCAGTCGGATGATTGTACAGAGGTTGGTAGTAGCGAGGTCCCGGTGCCGCTGCTCTTGGACCTCCTCTTCCATGATAGGCATATCCTCTCCCACTATTGGCCATCCAGTGTTGTTGTTGGGCCGATAATGGCATCGGACAACGCCTTACCGGGTGTCCGGGTTGGCCGCAGTTATAGCACGGGCCCATTCGTCTAGGACCCCATTGTTGAGCTGGCACAGGATATCCCGGCTGGGCGTACCCAGCACCTGTATACACTGGCCCCTGGGTTGGTTGGGCTGGATAAGCCACTTGTGGGTATGGTGTGAGTTGTGCTGGGTATGCACTAGGTGGTGGCGGCTGGTATGGAGGCACAGGACCAGTCAAAGGGGTAGCAACCAGCATCTTAGTGACAGTCTTTTCTATGATCTGGGATACATCGGGCGTGTCTTCTGCCATCATCTGCTTCTTGGGTTTTTCATTCTTCTGTGCCTCTTTGAGCTGGAGCTTCAACAGCTGAACCTGCAGTGACTGTACCTGTGTGTCAGCGGTGCCCTTATCCTTATTGTATTGGGTGATGTGGTGGGTGACATGGGAGTTGAACTGGACATTTGGCATGGCTCCCAACCCTACCGTGGCCCTCAGTTTGGTTCTTACTTCTGATGGGGTTCCGCTCACCACCATTTCCTTCCACATACTTAGGGTGGTTTCAGTATAATCATAGGGTTCATTATGGACTGTCCTCCAGGTGGTTTTTGCCCTGTCCAGGTATTCCGCTGCCTGTTCCCCTGGGTTGATAGTAAAGGAAGTGAGTGTAGCATAGTTCCTTTCTGTAGGATATGCTCTCCTCAACACATCCCAAAGTGGAGTTCTATATGTTTCAGGAGGAGTGGCCCCAGGGCTAGTTGTCATGCCTGCATCTCGGATGAGAACTGTCATGGTGGTATGGTCTGTAGCTCTAGCCAGCAGGGCCTTCATATCCGCTAAAGCCAGTCTGACCCCTGAAGTTAGTGTCTGTAGCTGCAGCAACCACGCCGACGCCCCACCATGCAGGCTGGGTAACTGCTCCATGAGAGCAGTGAGGTCTTGCATTTTCCATGCCACATACTCCTCACGGTTCTGAGTGGCACTCAGTCTAAGAGGCATCTGAGAATGTGCCTCTCTTTCTTTCTGCTGTCTTTCAACAATTCGGTTTGACCTTCTTATCACGTCCCTCAGTCCGGTTACCTTCCCCATCAGTACTCCCTCCACTCGGTAGGGGCCCCCTTGTTGTTCCACCTGTCTCAGAAATTCGAGTTCTCTGGATGCTTCTTCCAGATCTTCCTCACAAAGTTCCTCCCCATCATCCTTTTGTTCTTCAGTAGGTTGGTTCATGTGATATTCTCTTTCAGTATGACTGGACAGGTTGGGAACGGAATGGGCGTATTCCGCTAGCTGGCAAGCACCCTTTAGGGAATGTTCATATTCTTCCCTCAGACTGTCTCCCCTTTCAGATTGGGCTGGGGATGTCCTTTGCATATTGGAGGAGTGTCCACGCTGGGATTCGTTGTTTGATTTCGGAGAATCGGCTCTGGGTGGAGAAGTGTGGGAGTTATCTGGTCCTGAGTGTCTGCTCAGCTGTGGTGCACACTGGGATCCCCTGGTTGATCTCAGGGAGTCTGCCCTGAGTGAAGAAGGATGGAGGGAGTCTTCTGATGTTGAGTGTCTGCTCAGGTGTGGTGGCTGGGTTGTGTCTGGTCCCCTTGGGGTGGAATGGTGTGAAGGCCGTCTGTCTATTGTGAGTTCTTCACACGTCAGATGTCCCCCCTCAAGGTCAACGTTCATCCTTCCCTTTAGGTGTCCTCCTTGCACAACGAAGACTGGAGCCTGTATCTTTGGTCCAGTGACAGAGTTCACCAAGGGAGTGTATGGAGGGGGTGTAGCAAGGGCGACCTCTGCTGGTAGAGGTGGGTAGATGGGAGCCGTGGGTGGAGTCGGCTCTGATAGGCTACCCTGCTGGGCCTCCATAGACGCCTCTTCCTCCTTTGTAATGACTACCCCCATCATTTCTGGTTTCTTGTTCAGTTGCGCTTTGAGAGCCTCCTCCACAGCCCATGTTCCTATTTTTAGTTCTGCTTCTGCTCTCTCTCGTTGCTTAGTCCCTTCCTTTTTAAACAAATGACTTTTATTCTTTTCTACCTCCCTGTCTCTAGCTTCCTGCACTGCCTCTCTCAGTCCGCCTTCCATCTTCCCCAGTTGGGCCCTGTTTGGCGGGCCCCCCCCTAGATAACCCGCCTGTGTCCACTTCAACTTCACCCCCTCCCAAACCTTCTTAAGAGACTTCCACTGTAAATTGCCCCCTGACCTATCTTGTATCTTCTGATCTAGAAAATCGTTAAATTTAAGCTTTAGAGTATTTGGGGTCGTCATTTTATCATATATCTTGTATTTTATGCTTATTTAATTTTTATATTATCAGCTTAAATTTTAATACCTTAATTAGACTATCTTAATATACTTAGCCCGTCACCGGTTAATACCAGCGCTGCATTCCTGGAGACATGTACTCTGTCTTATCTCAGAGCTCCTCCCTCGTACTCTCAGAATTGTATATGTGTTGTTTATTTATCAGGCGTTGTGGAATGCGCAACCAACAGATTATATCAGCACATTAAAACACATCATTTAGACATTGATTCAATATAGTCAATATTTGTTACTTAAAATACTTCACATTAATCAATATACTTTCAACACTTACACATTACATTAGAGATCTCTCAAACACTCTGAACCTATTCCTTACCGATCTCAGTCGGACCGGTCTCAGCCGGACTTAGAATGGTTACCACTTTATCATTTACCACTGTTCACTTTAACTACACCCTTCACCTAACGAATATTCGAGCTTTTAGATAAGGCTTATACACTTTAAGACTATCGGAATCCTATTTTATTTTTTATTTTTATTTTTTACTAGCAATGTTCATCATTAAACAATATCCATTAAACAATTGACATTTACACATCCGACCCTATTGGTACATGGAGCGTTTGTCATTAAGTAATACACATTTATCAGTTGACATTTACACATCCGACCCTATTGGTACATGGAGCGTTTGTCATTAAGTAATACACATTTATCAGTTGACATTTACACATCCGACCCTATTGGTACATGGAGCGTTTGTCATTAAGTAATACACATTTATCAGTTGACATTTACACATCCGACCCTATTGGTACATGGAGCGTTTGTCATTAAGTAATACACATTTATCAGTTGACATTTACACATCCGACCCTATTGGTACATGGAGCGTTTGTCATTAAGTAATACACATTTCTATCTCTCCTAGCCACACAGTTCCCCCCGGTCTGACTCTCTTGGTCCGTCTCTGTGAACCAACTCTCCCAGACGGTTTAAACTTAATACATATTATCACACATTCCCCGATCTGACTCTCTTGGTCCGTCTCTGTGAACCAACTCTCCCAGACGGTTTAATACATTTTATCACAAAGTCCCTCCCGGTCTAACTCTCTTGGTCCGTCTATAGTGGACCAACTCTCTTAGCCGACTCTCGACTTATTAATTAGTCACAGACATGTTTACTACACTGCCTTTCAGTTTGTCATCTATGCATAAATTTTATCAACAATTCATACTCACACTCGGTAATACTGATCAAAATTTGGATAGACTATTCGACAATATGCAAAGTTTGATTTAACAGGTTTTGCTTACCTTTTTTTTTATAGTCGACTTTAGGATCAGTTTCCCGAGCTGAGTTGAATTGTTGTCCTCCCTCCGAATAATTACACCAGTCTTTTCCGTGAATCGTCCTTTTACCAACTCGCCCCCTCACATCCACATTAACCACTCTGGACCGTGTATCTAGACAACCATCGACTGCTACCAAGTTTCTGTTAATAACGGGATATGAGAAGGGAGAGTCGGCCAATGATCGATTCAGACTAGGTGGTAAATTGTATGACAAGCGGCAGTTTATTCAGAGTAAAAATGTCTGGTACAAAACGTGCACGGTCTCGTTCTTTCAGCTCATAGGGAACCTCCAGAAAAAGCCCCAAAAAACAGTTCACATATGTTTTATACTATTTGTAAAGTAGGTTGAATCTAGCAGATCTGATCTTCTGGTTGGTCCATGCTGCTCGGGCGTCGTCCTCTGTGATTGGGTCTAGGAGATCTATACATTATAACTCAGGTCCTTTGTTCCGAATGTTTCAGCAGAGTAAAGATTTGGTGTGTGCGTTTAGTTATCTCTTATCTTGAGTGAGTCTGTGTGTGTGAGTGCATTTGTGGCAAGAGTGTGTGTGTTGGTCAAAGCTTGTCTTGGAAAAAGGAATTAGTTATAGCAATTTAATGGCAATAAGCTGTTTATAAAAATAGCATTTATTACAGGTCCGATGGAATTGGAGGGCATAACCCTTCTGTAACGTCTGTTCTAGCCAGTGTGAGAGGGTACAGCTTCATTGCCACTGCCAGCAATGCAGAGAAAGCGGGCGCGCACGAAGCTGAGGTGCATCCAGTAGGAAGGACCTGTATTCCTCTATGGCCCTCGCCGCCGCTATTCCCCAGCACTGAGTTGGTGGAATAGCCCAAGGCGGGCCCCCCTCGAAAGGGAGAGGAAACATCAGCTCGTTCTGGGTGAATCGGAGGCCTTGATACGTTAGTTACGACCGTAACTCCAGTAATCCGGCCCTCCGTGAACGCAGCACGGTTCTGAACTGCACTGGCTGAGGCATTGGCCTGAGACAGAGCGCTCTCCCCGGATAGCAATTGCGTCATCATGTCATTGTCTGACTGAGACTGCTGCTTGCCATGAGACCCATCCATTACAGTACTCAACAGAGTCTGAAAGGTGTGATCTCTGACTGGTA